CAACAGGTCTTCGGCCACTTGTTGATACTCTTGACTTCGATGGTTTTCCAAAAAGTTTTGTACAATGGATTTAAATGTTAAACATGCATTTTTTTATAACCTTCCTTAGTCTGATCAAATTCCAGGTCCGTCATTAGTTCTCGAATTTGGGAACCGTCGAGAATCGCAGCTTTACCGATCTTTGGAAATTGTCGACTAAGAAAACTGAAAGCTTAACTTTCTTGTCGAGAGTTTTGACATAATTTTTCATTAGCCGTAATCTAATATGGGAAGTAATATTTTCTTTGGGTTCATTGAAACATGTGCTAGAACGTTATGTAAACCATGCCTTATTTCCCAGTCACGTTTTACATAATGTTTCTTTATCGGTTCGGCTGTTCCATAGACATAGAAAACAGGAGTATTTGGTATATAAGCCTTATAAGCCTAGCAATAAAGATATAACCTAAAAATAAAAACAGGAAGAAGTTTAAGCAATTTTTGGAATAGAACATCTTTTAAAGTTACATACCTTTAGATCTCAACACATATTCCAGTTGTGGTCTCGATATTTTAGAGCAGTTAGTAAATGTTCCATATTGTCATAACTTTCAGTCATTTGTACTGAATGACCTACTGGAACAAAATAAACTTTGTTACCATTAAACAAGAGAACTGCCTTTAAACTTCTGCTGGCTAAATCTATAAACAATCTCCATTCGCTAGAATCATATTTTAAACTAATGCTGTGTTTAAATATTTTAAAAGAAAAAATCGAAACTCTTTCTCTCGATCACGATATCAGTAAAATATTGTTCCCGGAGCTAGTAAATTCGTTTGACGAAGACAAGATCCCAGCAACACTGCGGACTCCTTAGACAGACAAATGTTTCTCGTAAGATCATTTAATTCGCTTTGCGTAAAGGTTTTCTGTTGATTTATTCCAACGGTGTCCTCAAAACCAATATTATCATCTGTGTGCCAATCATCAGATTCTGAAGACAAATCTGGGTATGTGTCTGGTGGTTCTGTAATTGGAACTTCTGGACCATGACAAACAGTCTCTAATACAGATGGCACATAGGGATACTTACCATGTTGGGCGATAGGTTCTATTTACTCCTAAAAAGTAAATTTTAGGAATATTTACTTAAAAAACAAAAAATTTTAAAAATTCTTACCCTCTAGATTAGTCATACAAAAATAGCAGTAGGTAGTATGATCTCTTCTTTCCCGACAAATCATCGGTATACCAAAAGGTAGGCTATTTTGTTTTTTGGTACTCCAACGTCGCAAAACTTTTACGCACGTTCTGCAGCATATGTGAGGTGCGAATGACTTGTCTTGATCACCAAATTTGAGTCCAAATAATGTTAGGTATATTTTTGTCACAAAACTATTGATGTTTGACTTACGATTTTAGCTAAAGTGATTTGTCCACATATATAACAAAACCAGTCAGGGTCATTTTTACGTTTTATTCTGTTCATTATGAAAACAGTAACGTCCACACTCAAATCAAAAATCCACGTACTACTGCTGAGATAGCTTACCAATGACTGAGGACGACTTGAATTCTTGAATATACACAATAAAATAAGTACACCTAATCAGAGCACGGTTCGCGCGCGGCGTTGCCAGTAATTTCGAAATGTCCTTTTTTGTTATTCTTAAATTAATAATTTGTTTACGATAGAATGAAAACTTGACCTGATCGAGCTAAACTGCATGAAAAAATGGTAGAAATTCATCTATCAAAACCATGAACTTAGAAAAGTCGCAGACCAGTGTAATCAATCTATGACTTTATATGACAGAGATGAATTTTACCTAGAAAAAAGCCTTAATTTCAATTACAGGTTTTTGTAAAACTAAAATCGTGCGAGACTAACTGAGATGCTTTAATTTTCATTTAACATTAGAGATGTCGCCACCGATTTACTAAATATTATCATTTTGAACCGCTTCCCCTTACTTCCTATTTTGAGTGTTAACATTTATTTTTATTAAGAAAGAAAGAAGGTTGTTACTGTTTTTATACAGTTCGACTGTTGGCCAATTTTAATGGACATAATTTTACAAAATTCCAGTCTTCGGTAGGAATCGTAATCCGCTATTTTTATTATGAGTGGATATAATTTGTTTTTGTTTAGAACCCTGTGTACTGTACATTGAGTGTCTTCATAGGTAGACGCAACTTGGTTTGTGGAAAAAGTAAGCTTTACTACCATTTCTGCAACTATGTATATCAATTTTGTTTGTCATTACTAATTTTTGACCGACCAGGTCGTTTGGCTTTATAAACAGCTGTTGTTTGAAATATATGAATAGGCTCTCTTAAATAAGTCTTGGGTATAGGCCGATAGATGTGAGATGCAAAATTGTTTTTACTTTTATCAATTATAGTTATTACTTTAACAGCTAGAGCACGTACCATTTTGTAGATATTTAAACATCTTGTTAAAAATAATTAAACTAAAAATTAAACACCTGCAAAAACGTAGCAAAGTAGATGCGGTCGGAGAATTAAAAACAAAAAAAAATTTTTTTTTGACAGTGAACCAGAGGCGGCTTTTTAAATCTTTATTAATTAAAAACGAAACTATAATTTTAGTGTTTATTTAGTTTAACTATAAAAATACTCTAAATCCAAACAAAGTTATAATATATTTATTTTTACTGAAACTTCTTTGTTTGCTGATATTGCGGATGCTGAACTAGGGTCTTTATAACTACAACATCTACAGACAAGATCGCACAGCCGAACCGAGTACTTCTAGCAGAGAAGGGGGTGTCTTGATTTCAGTAAAGAAAATGTTTTCTAGCTGTCTTATTTCATCTAACTCAGCAATTGAACAATTATTTGTTTCTACTATATAACTTTCTGTTTTCGGCACAGTAATTGTCAACAACTTTGGAAATGCTATTGATTTACAGTGTGATATTAATCATTTGTGCGATTGGTGCAAATACAAAGGCACGGATTTAAATGTGGGAAATTGTCACGTTACTCTTAGAGTAGTTTTAATTGCATTACATTGTTATATTTGTTTTAGTTACCTGCCCACCGATAGATCCACCGACACCTATTTACTTTCCTGACGAAGCCTACTGCGCAATATTCTACGAATGTTCAGACGGAAGGGCTTGGAGATTTGTGTGTCCCCCCGGTACTTACTATGATATTGATAAACATGTGTGTAGTAATAAAGTAGATTGCGGAAATAGAAAAATACAATCTAACTTAGAAGACCCTACAATGTACATGTACAGCGGTTAATATATTTTAAAACTTAAAATTGTTTTTTTCTTGTGTTGATTGTATACATACAGAGGGTAACAAGATTTACAGTAAATTTAAACAGCCCTAGAAAATAAGTCGATTTAAGCTTACTGGCTTTCATAAAAAAATGGCTTCTAAAAAAGTTACAGTAGAAATTTTACGACTTACCCTTTTTTTTTAAATATACATGGAATATTAGCGTACAGAGACCAAAAAAGTGAGTTAGTGGCATTTAAAATTGTTTTAGTTCTAGCTCGTGAGCCAGCCTAGAGATTTAATGTAGTTGACAACGTCGCCAAAGGTGCTTCTCTTATATCGGCCGGTGTTGGCCGATACTCGCCGAACACAAATCTTCTAATAAATGATAGCATCGAGCAATCGTAAAGGATATGCTCAATGGTATCATCTTCTTGTTTGCACCCTCTGCAGAGTGCTGATTCTGACAGCCACATGATATGGAGATTCTTCCTTACATGGCAATGACCAGTTAGAATGCCTGTGTCTAGGCGCAGATTCTGTCTACTTATAGTCAAGTAATTGTTTGCTGCAGTTTTGTCAGGAAAACTTAAGATCTCCCTGACAACTCTGCAGTTTCTTGTTTTATATCATCTTTTCTTGAATTTCACTTTGTTTTTTAATTAGGTCTGTCACTACCTATTTTGTCAGGCCAATAGAAGGGCCAGGTCCAAAAACTATTTGGTTGGCTGCTTTCTTGGTTAGTGAATCAGCAAGACGGTTACCTTTCGATGTGGCGTGACCTTTGATCCATCTTAAGGCCAAAGCTTCGTGACGTTCTAGTACTAATATTGAATAAATTCATGCGGTCTGTTCAGGGTGAGTAGTGCTTGGCTGCTATCTGTATAGATGAGCATGTTTCTTCCAGTGATATTGTTTCTGGTTATTTCTTTTGCTGCTATGAGAATCCCCGTTAGCTCTGTATGAACTACACTGGCACTATTGCTCACAGCCCATTTTATATTTAGGTTTAAGAATCTGGAGTATATTCCACATCCTGAGCCTTGTTTTGGTGTAGATATTAATCGTACCTGCAACTTCCGGTTCTTCTATTTGTTCTCTTATAACTTTATATGGCTTATGGAAGATTTATCTCGGTTGGATGGAGTCCATGTTCGCTTGAAGCAGTGGGAGCGTATCGATAAAATTACTTTGTAGTCTTTGGAAAAATAGTGTACATTACTTGTGTAAAAGTGATTTTTTTAAACTCGTAATGTAATATACTACATCATCACAAGGGTGATATTTTTATAATCAGGAGGCTGATATGAGATACTTTTTATTAATTAAAACAATGTCTAGTTTTCATGGGTGGTTATAGGAAAAAAAATATATATTTCAGAGCCAACCAACTTCTACATTTACAGTTTTAGCATTAAAAAAATACGTTTGTGTCTAAAAACGTAGAACGAGTTTTTGGGAAATTTGGCGCTCTCAATTTTTTACATTTATCATCCAGGCGTAGTAACTTAATTAGATAAATTGTAGAAAATATTGTAAACTAAAACTTTTGTTTCAAACATTTTCTGCTACGACCCATTTTCGATGAAAATTTAAATCATTAATTTATAACAGCAATTGCCAAGGGATGAGCTTTACTAAAATTTTGTTTTAAGCTTCTCTTATGATCACCTAACTATTTATGAATTACAATCACGTGAAAAGTACTATTAAAAAAAAACCTATTTTAGTGCACTATTTCTCAAAGTTAAAATGTTATTACCAAAGAAACAGCCGTTGTTATTTTTGGTCCTCCTGCTCCACCGATCGCCATCAGAACATCTTTATTTCCATCTAATATAATAACTGGACACATGGCTGATACAGCTCTCTTACCGGGCGCTACAAAATTAATAGGAGATGAAGCAAAACCGTTACCGTTTAGCATATTTGGAGAAGAAAAGTCCCTCATTTCGTTGTTTAGGATAATTCCCGTACTTTTAGAAGCAAACCCAGCTCCAAACCTAAAAAAATAGGATAATAAAGTTAAAAATTAGTTCACAGCCACGACTAAAATATTTTATAATTTTGTTACATCAATCGTTTTGTTAATTTGAATCTCATTTTGAAATAAGTATTTTTTATTATATAAATACGCAAAGACAAATAGAAAATGGTATTGCCATTTTCTATTTTGTTTGTGAACCGGTCTTGTTTTTTAAATTTTGTTTAGTGGTTTGACGAGATTTAGTGTTATCAATAAAAAAAATTGGATGTAGTATTTTGTCCAATCTTCGATATATATTAAATCTATTGATCCACAATTATTATGAATTATGATTGACTAATAAAATTAGCCAAAGCGAACGTGAGCACCTTTAATTTCGAACTGATATGGAAAGTATTAAACGGACGGATAGAGGTCAGCAAAAAAGGAAAAAAATATTTCCCCCCACTCCTCCAACTTTCCCTACTTCTCTAACTTCCCCCTCTTCCCCTGCCACGCCTAAATGTTAAGTGATAGACTTTGAGAAGTAAAAAGTAACTTTATTCCCCTCTAAATGTGGGTGGGGGAATGGGGTGAATTCCCCTCCTAAGTGTAGGTGGAGGAGAAATATTTTTTACATACTTCGAGTATTTTGAAATATTGGTTGCATCGATAATTAGAAAATTTGAAAACTTGGCTGAACTCCTTCTCCTGGCCAGTTTTTGATACCCAAAATGGTATTGTTAAGAGAATAATTGAAAATTTATAGGTTTTTGTTTTCTATGAAATAAGATTACTTTACATTTAGTTAAGTTCAGCTGTAAATAATTATCGAGGAACCAGTTATAAATTGTATTCAAGGCGTTTTGCAGTAAGAAACAATCTTAATCGGATTTGATTTCAATATAAATTTTTAAATCGTCGGCAAAAAGTAAATGTGGTATCAAGAGTTGACTTGATATATCGAATATAGAAACAAAGAATAGTAAGGGTTCCAGATTGGACCCTTGAGGAACACCTGATAATGAAATATATCTATTAGACCTCAGGCCATCGTACTGTACAAATTTGTATCGATTTAGCAGATATGACTCCATTAATTTGAAAGAGAATTCGAAAAACCAACAGATTTGAGCTTTGATAATAAGTGATAGTGATCGATTCGGTCAAAAGCTTTCTTTATATCAGTATAAATAACATCTACTTGACCAACAGAGTCAAGTGTGTTTGATATATACTGTGTTATACAGGCCAAATTAGATACAGTTGATCTTTTTGACATAAAACCGTGCTGAAAGTTAGAAAATAATGGTTTCACTTTATTATAAACGTTTTCGTAAATTATCATCTCAAATACTTTTCCAAAGTTACAGAGTATCGCAATTGGTCTGTAATTATCTATAGCAGAGCGATCACCGGATTTATCAATTGGACAAATTTTTGCAGTTTTCCATACGTCAGGATAAGTTTTCGTTTTTAAGATTAGGTTAAACAAGAAGCAAAGAGGTTTGGCAAATGGATAGGGACAGTCCTTGACAACAAAACTTGGTACTTTATCTACTCCCGCCGTAAATTTGTTTTTAAGTTTTTTTGAAGCTAAAACTATATCGGTTTCAGATACTGAGTCAATACAAATATGCAAATTAGCCTATAGATAATGGTCCAATAAATATTTGTTCTACTACCATGCGTAAAGGACATACTTTACACTCCACGGAGTGGGTAAAGTTGTATTTTTTCACTAGTGCGTAAAATAAAACTGTTTACGCATTAGTGAAAAAAAGTAAAATTTAACAAAAATTGTACATAGCAACAAAATACTTTACGCACTAGTGAAAAAATAGCTATTTGTGTATTAAGAGCGAAAAGTGATACTTTTCCGCTTGAGACAGAATGTTTTAAGAAATAGATATAAAAACTGAAAATTTGTCACATGTATTGTATAATGTGTTGCATATATCTACGTTATTCATGAAAAATGGAGTTGATATTCAAAGTCAATGTTAACTTGGATAATTACAATTACATAAAAACATCAAACTAGGTACATATAACTTCAAAATCATTTATTAAAAAGACATATTATAGGGTGAGTCATGAGGAACCTTACAGACTTCTACCATATGTAGAGTCCCTCAAGGGGTATATCATGTGAGCATTAAAAAGTGGCAACTCCCCTTCGTTATTAATATATGTGAATTTTGACCAAACTTTATATGGCCGTAAAATCTACAAGGATTACTAGATTTCTTTAATTTTTTGGTGGAGCTTTACACTGGTGTCTATCATTTAATTTATATCCTCAAAAGTTAAAAATTCCAGGATTGGCTTAGGAAAAATTAATCTCGACGATTCATATCAAAAAGTTCGCCCTGTATAAGATTTTTTTAAATTATAATAAGATATTTTTAAAGTACATAGATAGGCAATCAAAACTGTGTATGTGACATTTTTGTCACATTTTCTTTAATTTTTTTATTAAGTTTTGATTTTGGGCAAAACTGAAAAATCACCTTAAGGGGTCACATTATAATTGTTATAACTTAAAGAGATTTCTCTAATTTTTTGGTGGATCTTTACACTGGTGTCTAGCATTTATTTCATATCGTTAAAATTTAAAAATTCCAGGATTGGCTTAGGAAAAATTAATCTCGACGATTCATATCAAAAAGTTCGCCCTGTATAAGATTTTTTTAAATTATAATAAGATATTTTTAAAGTACATAGATAGGCAATCAAAACTGTGTATGTGACATTTTTGTCACATTTTCTTTAATTTTTTTATTAAGTTTTGATTTTGGGCAAAACTGAAAAATCACCTTAAGGGGTCACATTATAATTGTTATAACTTAAAGAGATTTCTCTAATTTTTTGGTGGATCTTTACACTGGTGTCTAGCATTTATTTCATATCGTTAAAATTTAAAAATTCCAGGATTGGCTTAGGAAAAATTAATCTCGACGATTCATATCAAAAAGTTCGCCCTGTATAAGATTTTTTTAAATTATAATAAGATATTTTTAAAGTACATAGATAGACAATAAAAACTGTGTATGTGACATTTTTGTCACATTTTCTTTAATTTTTTTATTAAGTTTTGATTTTGAGCAAAACTGAAAAATCAACTTAAGGGGTCACATTATAATGTTATAACTTAAAGAAAAAATTGTTAATGGTATACATTTGAACTAAAACGAGTCTAACATAAGCTTTTAGTGCCTACACCGTTAATATCATTTTATTCAATTTCCAGGCCTAGTTATAAATTTTTAATTAATTTTTAAACAAAAATCACCCTGTACATTTTTGGAGACTCAAATAAATTATACATAAGTTCATATGTATTTATTAGAAATATTTTATTTCGTTTAAATTTCATCAACAAACAATAAATAAATTTTAACGAATTAGAATAACGAACAACTAAGAAATTTAAAAAAAAACTAATACTACATACATAGAATAATGATAACATGTATACTAGAAAATAAAATCATGGTAATAAATTAACAATTACAGTAGTTGTTCGAAATGAAACCCTCCAGCTTCTACGCATTTTTGTTGCCGAATCGTTAAGTGCCTTATTGATTTACGGATAGTCAAGGGATCGTTTCTAATAACATTAGAGCAAAGGATAATTCTATCAATTAATTGTTGTCGGTCATTAATATTTTGTGAATAAACTAATTCTTTCAATCGTCCCCAAATATAGTAATCTACGGGGTTAAAATCTGAGGATCTTGGAGGCCATGAAATAGGACCTGCACTTCCTATCCATCTGTTGCCAAAAACATTATTTAGATGGTTTCTTACCGCAACTAAAAAATGAGGCGATGCTCCATCATGTTGGAAATGCATCCCTCGGATACCTACGTTGGCAAGTAAATTAGGCAAAGTATTTTGCAAAAAGTAAACTTGTCCTCTTAAAGGACCATCAAAAAAGTGAGGTCCTATAAATTGGTTATTTATCACACCAATCCACACGTTCACGGAAAACCTTAACTGAGACCGAAACTCTCGAACAGCATGGGGATTGTCTACTGCCCACACATGTAAATTACGGGAATTATTTATCCCATCCCTTGTAAACTGTGCTTCATCTGTAAACAATGTTCTATACAGTACTGGTCTATGATTTGCAATCCACCTACAAAATGCCAACCTATGGATTTCATCTCGAGGGTGTAGCCGCTGAACTAATTGAATATGATATGGGTGTAAATTATTTTTTCGTAAGACTCTAGTCACTTTTGATTGGGTAACATAAAGTTGTCGACTTACTTTCCTGGTGCTTATTGTGGGGTTCGCAATAACAGCATCAAGAATATTATCTTCCTGCTCATGATCTACATTTCGTTCTGTATTTGCTTTAGGGAATGTGCCATGTTCTCGCAAATAATTAAAAACTGATGCAAATGTTGAATTACAGGGAACTCGACGACCAGGAAATCTTCTATGATATTCTCTTGCTGCAGCTCTGCCATTCCCATTACAGAATCCGTACATAAAAATGATATCTGCATATTCTGCATTTGAAAACTTATGGGGCATTTTGAATAACAACACCAACAACAAAAATTCTAACACTATTGTAAAATAGATAAAACAAAGCGAAATATTATTTTACACGTATAAATAATGGTTGCAAATGACAAATAAATAAGAACAAACAAACGTCAAACTATCACAACCTACCTTGATACATAGGTACCTACTATGTATTTATAATAAAAATAAAACCACAATATCTTAGTTGCAAGAATAAAATGTGCAGTTTTTATTAGAGGTTAATAAATAGCATTTATAATTATTAATTAATAAGTGTGAATTTATTGTTCGTTATTGTTATTCGCTACAATTTATTTATTGATTATTGACATGTTTAATTTAGTTGAGTAGTTTCTATAGTCTACAAAAATAGGCCGATTTCTATTTAAAATTTAAAAATGAACTAATCCGGATCTGGAAATTGTCAAAAATTAATTTAACGATCTAGTAAGCTCACTAAAGGCTTATGTTTGGCTCGTTTAGTTCAAATGCATACAATTAACAATGTTTTCTTTATGTTATAACATAATTTATGTGACCCCTTAAGGTGATTTTTCAGTTTTACCCAATATCGAACCTTAATAAAAAAAAGGTGACAAAAATGTCACTTACACAGTTTTGATTGTCTATCTATGTACTTTAAAAATATCTTATTATAATTTAAAAAAATCTTATACAGAGCGAACTTTTTGATATGAATCGTCGAGATTAATTTTTCCTAAGCCAATCCTGGAATTTTTAACTTTTGATGATATGAATTAAATGCTAGACACCAGTGTAATGCTCCACCAAAAAATTAAAGAAATCTAGTAATCCTTGTAGATTTTACGGCCATATAAAGTTTTGTCAAAATTCACAAAACTATTAATAACGAAGGGGAGTTGCCACTTTTTAATGCTCATATGATATACCCCTTAAGGGACTCTACATATGGTAGAAGTATGTAAGGTTCCTCATGACTCACCCTGTATATCTAAATTAATTTAGGCAAGCGACAAAGCTGTCAAGTTTTCTGCTCGGCGATCGACAAAGATGTCATTTAATGTCAGTTCGCGGAAAACGTCAACTTTGCGGTTGAATTTCGAAGCGCAAAAGCCTACTTTGGATAGTAATCGTAGAAAAAGTAACTTTTATATTTCCAATATTAGTGGATAATGTGTACGGTATTTTGCATTTTGCTTTTTATAATAGTAATGAATCTTCAACAATATATCTGTATCCCACGTGATCTAGTAAAACAAGAAATGTAATAATGAAAGTAGTCAATCTTTAGTAACTTTTATGATATCTTGAATATTAATTCTGTCAAATAGGTTAGTTACATTGTTTTAGGGGTACCAATAAAGTTATTAATGGTAATTTTATCCAAGATATTAATTTAGTCTTTTGGGGTACAAAAACTCAGTTCTCACCTCTTCCAGGTACCACAATCACAGTTATAACCTCATCGCTTTCTTCCCTAGTCAGAAGATACTTACATCATACATCGGTATTCGTTCCATCCCTTTCTTGCTAAAGTTAGATATAACCAGCCTGGTTACATATTTTCTAATATCAATAGTATATCATACACGGCTTATAAATGAAAACTTTTTCCCTCCTCTGGCAATCCACCCTTTTAGATACATGTCCTCTTTTTATTAAAAAAAAGTTTTATACATAATAGCTACATTTAGTCCTGAATACAGCCCTCGGGCCGAAACCAAAACACTTTAAGCAATAAAAAACATTTTGTGGTATTGATTTTTAGTACGTATATATTTATTTTTGTTTATGAAAATGATCCCATTCAATGTAATTAATTTAGATTATAGAACAGGTTCATTTTGAATTTAATATTATTTTATATTCTGTAATGTTGGTCCTTTTCGTTTCCCAAAATTAGTTATTTTCATTTTCAATATTAATAAAATCCTCCTATCACTGCTACAAGAAAATATTGTTTGTAAATAAAGACATGATTTCTTATAATTAAAGTACTTACTATTTGTGGTTGTATAATAATCCTTTGTTTTTCATCATAAAATCCAATTTTTCAGTGTTAAATCTTTTTAATATCTTTTCTTTACATATTTTCAAATATAAGTGTATTTTGTAAATAATTCTTATGTCAAAAGTTCGTCTAGTCTCGGCTCTCGACGCTTTACAGATATGGTAACGCGAAGAGACGTTTCTTATGGCAAATTTGGCTCTCATTTCGAAAACATATCGTTTGTATTCACCTGCACTGTGTTCTGTTCAATGGGTCGACAAAGACAGAGATAATTCTTGATAGGGACGTATCTCAATAACTGTCATACTTTACTTTATACTGTCATTTGGAAAAGCTCTTTTTTCAGATTTACCGTGTAGGAAATAATTTAAGGAGTCAATAAAGTTATGGGTTTATTTGCTAATAAGTGATTTTAACAATCGTTAACAGCCGTTCATTCACATTTAAGCCCTTATTTATTGCAATCATTCAGATTGTGTTTTATATTACGCAGACAGAGTTATCGTCTCGGCTGCCGCATTATAAAGAAGGAGACAGCTGCTAATTTGAGTGAGGATGGTTTGTGCGAGTTTGTTTATCTGAGGGGCGGGCATGCGTTTTATGAATGATTCAGTATTTACGTCTACGACGTTAGCTTTACACGGCTACCACACTTTAAAATGAATTGCGTACTTTCCTAAAAAACACTTATTATTATAGTTGCAAAGAGCAAAACACATTGAACTAAAAATAATTAAGAACGTAAATATATTTGCCTAAAATAAATATATACATACTTAGATCAGTAAGTCTTTTATGCGGACGACACCAAAATGTATGCAAATCCACTGCTGGAACATAACTTACTACAAAACGGTGTCAATTCTATTGGGAAATGGTGCAAGGACTGTTTACTACCGTTAAATGTTAGCAAATGTGACCTTCGTGAAAATATCATTTCAGATGTCAGTGAAATTATTTAAAACGCCAGTCTGACGACCGGTTAACAATGGCGCATTTACAGAAATTTTAATAGCGCTGCATGCGAGGTGATCTAAATTTAAGTTTTCGCGTATTAAAATTTAATTATGCTGACCTATTTTATTTATATTTTTTTAAATCATGATAACAGACTAAGAGGTCAACAATTTAAATTAAAAAAAATAAAACTGTAGGACTAAATACAGACAATTTTTTTAACAAAGATAATTTTTGAAGTATGGTACATTTTGCCCAATGATAAATATATTTAAAAATAGATTAGCTTTTTTTATGAACAATTAATTATCTTTAACTTACTATTGTTTACAAATTACTGTAAACTGTTAGGCTATATAGAACCTAGTTCTCACTCTTTAATTGTTTTTAATAATAATAATAATAATATTAATAATAAATACTTAATAGCTATTTTGTAAAAAAAAATGAATCTACTTACAAAAGATTTATGGTACTGGTTACTGCTACTGCATCTCCATCTGGGGATAAAACAGATATATGGGCTGTACCGTGGTCATCTGGAGAAGCGAATTTAGCATTATAATGCTCTGGATTTTGGTAAGTTTTCGTATCTGATATCAATGCTCGTATTTTGGTAGCATAACTTTTGGATGTATAGTCGTTTATTAACTAAGGAAAAGAATAATACCAAGTTAAGCAGTTTATTTCCTAATAGTACATCTAAGTATAATAAATATTTAAAAAAAAGTAGGTATAGTTTTAGAAAAAAACCTAGAAGACGATAATTGTTACTTTTAGTACTTTACAAAGGAAGTCAGGGTATCTGCATTATTTTATAATTTTTGCACCTTAATTCAAGTGCGGCTCCAGGGGGGCCGTGGGGGCCAGTCGCCCCCCCACCCCCGAGATGAAAATTCTTTCATTTATGGGCCTTTTATTAAAAAAAATATGCTAAAAAGAGAATGGCTAAAGGTAATGCACCCCCCCCCCCTAAAATTCGTCTTGGAGCCGCCCTTGCCTTAATTTATAGTTTTTTTCTTGTAGTTTTTAGGTGTTTGTAAATCAAATAAAAATCATGTGGGTGGTTATAGTTTCTTCAGTAGTTTTTATTTAGCAATTTTTTTCTTTTAATTAAACATTGTTTTTTTATGAAAGTTCTTCGGTACTGAATTGAGGTGTATCATTAAAAATAAATTAATTGGGTTTAATTTATGTGTGTAAATGAAGATGTTATGGTTTGCCTGAAGATAACATAATTATAAACTTTAAAACCGGTTGCAATAAAAGGACAACTCTGTAAAAATTTATTATTTTTATAAATCATATAATTTGATGATAATTTTTTAATTAATTTGTCCTAATTGTAAAACTTTAAATCAAATTGCCTTATTAAACAGATCGTTACTTAATTCATATAACTTCTATAGATAAATATTTTCTTAAAGTTTATAGAATCTGTTTCTCTCATTAATCATCTCTACTTTAAACTTTATGATTACAATGTAAAGTGTAGCATCTCGCTTGCGTCTGGCAAGTAGCTAAACACTGATTACGACTGTAGTTTCAAAGAAATTACTATGTACAGGGAGATTTTGGTTTTAAGTAACAAAGTATATCATTTCGCATCTAGAAGAAACTGATCAATAGGAAAATTTTATTAGAATGTTTATTTAAAAATCTAGTAAATTTATTGAATATTCATAAATAATAACCTTTATAATATGCTTATTGGATAGATAATATATCTACTAATAAATATGTAAATGATAAACAGTTATAGTACTTTATAGTACAGTGATAAAATAAAGTACCTTCTTCTAAATAAACAATCTAACTCAATACTTTTTATAAAATATTTATTGCAAATATTTTTACGACTATATAATCAATATCGCATAAAGAGGAGTAGATAGCACCAAATCCAAAAAAATGGCTCAGCTGGTAACTATGCACAACCAGACGATGTCTACAAGGAGGAGTTCTATCCCCACTAATGTGGAGCATAATTGTAGACGAATTTCTATGCAGATTGACTTACCTCGGCCTACTCTGTCAAGGTGTGCCGACGACATAGTCCTATTTACTATACTCTGTTTTTAAACTATACTCTGTTTTAAAACTAAGAGGAGCGATTTGAATTTATGTTGGCAATTCTGTAGCCTTCTGATTGGTCAGATTACAGTCAGTTTCACACATTACTTTTTAGCATGAACTAAGCTAATAATTGATATTGTTGACAGTTCTGACATTTTATAATTTGATATCTCATCCATTACATAGTTTTTTACTTTATTTCGTAAATAATAGTTCTTCAGTAAGCAATTGTATTGAAAATCTACAATTATGGATTCTTCTACACTGAGTACTATTAAAGGTAGCAATTCCTGAAAAGCCTTACAAGAAAGGGAAGACACCTTATTTTACATGCTGATTCTGAAGGTTTTGTAGAAAATGCATTATTAGTTTTTGAAGGTAAAAAGATGGGAGATTACCATGAAGAGATGAATTCCGAAGTATTTTAGAAAAAAATAATTTTATTACTGATTTTTTAAAACTAAAAATTGAAGAATTTCTAACCAAAATGATTAAAATGTAATTTTATTTATTAGAATAGAATAAAACTATTTACAAAATTGTTATAACATTTAAAACACCATCTACTACTTTAGGGACAATCTTAATTTGGCACAATGAGTTAACATTACTTTCACAAAAAATATTTTAAAAATACTTAAAATTAATATGGTATGTATGAATAGTTCACTTTAAAAAATATATGTTGACATGTAGTGTTATGAAAATGTTGGTTCCAGTTTTCAAAACAAATTCTGACTCATAGGCCTGTAAACTTTTGAATGCCTTTATTTGCCCTCTAGCGCATTAACCATGGGTTAACACTAAATAAGCCATAATATCCACAATACTCATAGAAGAGATACCAGTTACTGTGTGATCCACTTGTCATTCACTGATTAACTTTTACTTTTTATACCTATAACAAATATATCCTAAAAAATGTAAACAGATCTTCATATTTTATACTAACCTGGCTACATCTGGATATTCCATTAACAATTTTCTTAAATATTTAATATCCATTTTAAAAAGATCATAGTTATTCTCAAAAAGTCGATTTCAAAAGCAAGAAAAAGGTATTTCTGACATTGGCTACATCTGGATATTCCATTAACAATTTTCTTAAATATTTAATATCCATTTTAAAAAGATCATAGTTATTCTCAAAAAGTCGATTTCAAAAGCAAGAAAAAGGTATTTCTGACATCAATCAACAACCATATTGACTTTAATTTGACAGTGACATTTCGTTTTAGACACACATTTCAGATCACAATGTGAAATTTGCGACCGTTGTCGGGGACCAATTAAAAAATTACTTCTATGACATTTATTCGTTTCTTAACCGCTCATTGGCCGTTCACTGACTAAGGCCGATAAAAGATAATTATTTCATAAATTTTGAACACGACTATATTTCGAAACTCGCTCTTAGTAACAAATCTAGTTACTTTTCCCTGTGTAAATGCGTCTTTTCAATTCGCTCCTCCTAGTATAGGAGGAGCGAATTGAAAAGACGCATTTACACAGGATAAAGTAACTAGATTCGTTACTAAAAGCATGTTCAGAAATATAGACGTATTCAAAATTTATGTAATAGTTGTTATTATCGGCCCTAGTCAGCGAACGGCCAATGAGGGGTTAAGGAGCAAATAAATGTCATAGGAGTCGATTTTTTCGTTGGTTCCAGACAACGGACGTAAATTTCACATTATTGTGATCTGTAAAGTGTGTCTAAAACGAACTGTCACTGCCAAAAGAAATTTGATTTAGTTGTTGATTTGTTGACGTTAACAGAAATATGTTTTTCTTGTTTTTGAAATCGACTTTTTGAGGATTATGATTTTTTAGAATGTATATTGAATATTTATGAAAATTGTTAAAAGAATATCAAGATGCAGGTTAATATAAAACATAAAAATATAGTGTTAATCCATAGTCCATTCAAAAGTTTAGAGGCCTGTTAGGATTTGTTTTGGAAACTGGAATGAACATTTTCTTAACACTACATGTCAACATTATATCATTACTAAAACTAAAGTTAATATTGTAGGTCCTTTTAACTGAAATTGTAATTTTTACCTATATTTTTTAATTTAAAGTGATTACTCATACATATCTATGTATTAATGTTGGTAGATATTTTTAAAATATTTGTTGTGGAAGTAATGTTAGCTCATTATGTTAAATTAAGATTATCTCTAATGTAGTAGATGGTGTTTTAAATGTGAATTAACAATTTTGTAAGTGGTTTTATTTTCTAATTAATAAAATTTACTCATATTTAGTTATTTTTAATCATTTTGGTAAGAAATTTATTCATTTTTAATTTTAAAAAATTAGTAATAAAGTTGTGTAATCTCCCGTCTTTTTGCCTTTAAAACCAATAATGTATTTTCTACAAAACCCTCTTCAGAATCAGCATGTAAAATAACAAGTCGTCTTCTCTTTCTTATAGGGCCTTTAGGAATTGCTACCCTTAATAGTACTCGAAGAAGGATCCATAATCGTAGAAATTCAATACAATTGCTTACTGAAGTTCTGAAAAGAATTAATATTTACGAAATGTAAAAAACTAAGTAATAATGATGAGATTTCAAAATATAATATATTCTAAACAAAATATAAAATGTCGGAACTGTCAACAATATCAATTATTAGCTGATGTTAATGCTAAAAAGTGATGTGCGAAACCACATACTTTGATTACTATACGGTGCAAGAGGGCGCGGCCATTTTGATTCCTATGCCACAGTTTATAGCTAAAGAATCAGATCGCTCACTCTGCGTCGGCACTTTTGATCTCAATGTTCCAGTTTATACACTGCGCAACTCGGATAATACAATATATGACAACCACCTATAATAAAACAGTAGTCTTCTGCGTATCCTGAATTTGTATCCCTGGAGTGGATGTTATTTTGGAACTTTCAACTGGTCCGAGTGAGCTAACTGATTCTTTAGCAATAAACTGTGACTCCAAAAATAATATTCATTGACACTGACAGCAGCAAGCAAAATATCAGGTGCGTTTTAATCATCCGCTCCTGCTTCCGGAATTGTCGGTTAAGTCGTTTTAACCTGTCAGATTAAAACAAGAAAACCGACAATTCCGAATCAGAAGCGGATGGATGATTAAAACGCACCTATTAAAAATATTGCGCCAAGATGAAGGCAACACGTAATAAAGGATCAAAATGGCGGAGTTTTTGATCTTCTTTTAAAAGGCAACTTTGTCAAAACCTAGTATCTTGATTTTTTAAGTTTTCAGGAAATTGAATTTTTATATTTTTGTATTGCGTCAGAATAAGGTATGTCACAAAATTCAAATAAAAATCATTTCTAGGCTAAAAAAACATCACCATTTTTGTGGTATAATTATTTCTAAAAATTATGTTAAATTACAGTGTGAAATTTGAGTTACTAGGTTTTCAATAAGCATAATGATAACTAAAGACAGTACAATCCTATAGTAACTTTAGATACTATATTTTAAGTGTGTTTTTTTGTCAATAAAACGAAAATATTTTTATTTAAGAGTGTTTTTTATTATACTGCGAAAATACAAAAGTCGATAGTAATTGTAGTGAAAC